CAGAGGACAGTTTGATGACAGCGGAGGTGATTTACATCGCTAAACGAAGCTAACTGTCACCAACAGTAATGTTAAATGCTGTTAGTTTGTGCAGCTTATGTTACCTAACTTAGCCCTGGGGCTAGCAGCAGCCAAAACCGGCAATAAAACCACCTCAGTACTTTATTCCCTGTCGTCAAACTGTCCTCCTTAGCTAAATCCAGCTAATGGATCCACTACAGCTGCTGGATTGGGGGGACGTAACACACCATCCATCCACTTACCCAACTTCCTACATTGAATACTAATGTGGGTTGGGAAGGTTACTTTAAAATGTAATCCGATACAATTACTCAGTAATTCAGTAACCTAATCCAAGTATCACAATATAACTTGGTTACTTTAAATATCCAAATAAAGAGAAAAAAAACATAAATCCGATGACTTTTACGTATTCTATAAGACAACAGAACAGTCCTGCCTGTGTAACTGACCTATAATAGAAACGTTTTTAATTGTTTCTTCTGTCCTGAATCGTCCTGAAGGTCAGAGACCTCAACATAAAGATTGTGGATCTGAGGGGAAAGTTCAAGAGACCCCGTCTGAAGAAAGTGCGTATGTCCGCAGACGCCATGCTGAAGGCTCTGCTGGGTTCCAAGCACACGGTCAACATGGACCTGAGAGCCAACCTGAAGCAGGTTAAGAAGGAGGTGAAAGAGGAGGTGAGTTGATGCCTGGTTCAGTCTCAAACTGCGACTTGTTTTCCCTAATGTCGGGATCGGACTGCGCAAAATTAAGAAGGTCACTGCGTCAGATTCTGGGATTAGAGAGTCACAAATTCTTGGCGTGAACCTGCCCAAGAGACACGACAGATTACATGTTTCTCTCCGACCAATCATCGCTCTACAACTATCACAACGCGTGTGATGTTGCCAGGTAGGAGGTGCTAAGGAAAGACTTCCAGGAACGACAGTATTGGTAAACGTTTGGAACACATGCTAATATTTTTCTCTGGACTTTGTGAGGCGTCCCAGATGTGGCGTTGGTTGTCATCCATTATAACAGTACATGGAACAAAAGAATCAAATGTTGCGCCTGATACCCATTGTCGGGCAATAATCGGGCTGATATCGTGTAGTCTGAACCCGACAAAAGAAGTTGTTGTAGGTCGTTTTTGGGTCGTACAAACTCACAAGTAAATAAACTGTTCATTTTACGGATTTATCTGGTTTATTTCACTTTAGTTTGGCCATCATATGGTAACACCAAGCTTGGAACCCATTAGCTATCGTCTGACAACGATTTAGCTTCTGGGGGCAACTGCCAATGTTTTGGGGTATCCGGTGTAGCCAGCGGGTATCTGGGTAACTGATATCCGGACCAAGACCTCCTCGTTTTAGCGCAGGTCATTGTTTACAATTCAATTAGCAACTGGATGCTGTCCAGATGACATTTTGGTTAATCTCTATAAATAGATATCTGCATATGAATGTAGATACATTTAAAAAAAAAAAGGTCATAAAAAGCTAAATTTCTTGTAGCTCTCTCAAACGTGATCGATACTACTCGGACTCAAAGCGAAAACCAGAACATTTCCAATATGAAGCATCGGCAATGATATTAGCAATTACATCAAGTACAGTCAAAACCCATAGAAATTATCTATATCTGTTCAACCAATTAAATGATCTGTGTCCGTATCCACGGGAATAACTGGAAGATGTTGATTTAAGCCTGAAATTGATATGGGTTGACCAGAAGTTGTTGTATTTATTAGAAAACTATTTATTATTGCCTCAGAATTGAGAATTTTTTGAAGAAAACTATGTACAGAACAACTTTTGAAGTACAGGATACTCTTTAAAGTGAGTACTTGTTCAACCCAAACAGAAACCTTGGCCAACAAAACCTATGAAAATAAGATCCAATTTTTGATAAAATGGTAATAGTCCAACAATTTCATAACTACTGGCTAGATTACCATAAATAACGCATCATAATATTTAATGGATGAAATGAAATATGTTATAAATATGTTTATACACTGGTAAACTAAATTAAACATTATCTGTGTTCACAGGACAAGCAGCTGCGCGATGTGGGCGACTGGCGTAAGAACATCGAAGACAAGTCTGATAGGAAGAAGATGTTCGATGGTTAAATGTGATCTGTCGTCGATCGTTTTCAGGACAGAATTCAGGTTTAATGTCTTTGTAACTGAAGAGTTTTATTCCAAAAATACTACATATCCACTGTAAAACCTACCTTATTGAACAGAAGAGTTGGGAGGTTATATTGATCAACAAGCGAGCGTTTTTAAGCTTTATTGGTGGGGGTAAAGTAGGTGATGAATGGCCTTAATCGTTTAAAAGTGATGATAGCTGATTGCGTAGAATTATACTCGTACATTATCCTTCTGTGATGTGTGGAAAAGGCGGAGTTCGGGTAGTTTTTGGATATATTACATTGGAATAAAACTCTTCAGTTGAATCTAAGCTGCCTTCTGCTTTCTGCCTGTATTGACACTGTACTGTGATGTATTTGTACTGTACGTACTGATGTCAGTTAGGGTTAGTAACTAAAATACTGCCGTACCTGCAATGTACCGTCATAAAAACCTACACAGCTACAGCTGCACTTGTATAATCACCTTCATTTACTCTGTGTGTTGCTTATATGATACTATTTTTATTTATTTATTGCTTTTACTTCAAAAGAGATATGTCTTACAACATATCTCTTCTGCAATAAAAATAATAATAAAACTAGCATCATATATACTTACAGCTGAAGAAATACACTTTTATTTCATTGTTTAACATCTTTTGTAATATAAAATGAGCGAATAATGCCTACTAGAGTTCTGTTAATTAACTCATCCACATGCAGACAAATCATCGAGTCATCGTTAGGCCATTTTGTTCCATAAAGCTTCGGGCTAGCGCAGATTTAGTTCATTTTCAAATGTAATTAATGAATTGTTAATAAATCTGTCTCATTCTAACTCTATGCTAATTGTCTGCGTCCATCCATGCTTGTCACATGTTCAATGTCCGGTGGAAAGGCGGCAAGAAACGAGTTTAGCCAATGCGTTAGCCTGGCAAGCTAACGGTTAGTAAAGCAAATAAGCAACTGTCACATTGCCAGCAAGAAACACTCCTCTGTTGCAGAAGTATTTAGTTCAGCCGACTGTCTGTACTAAACAACATCATGTTATCTTTTCTAAGCTGTTCAAACAGGAATGTGATGTATTTTTCTCGTCTTGTTGCTGTCACATTAAATACAAAAAGCTTCACGTTTACCTGGTTCATGTTGAATTTGTAAACTCTTTGCTCAAGTTCATTTTCAAAATACTGTAAATTTAGATCTTGAATTAAAGACCTTTTGGGAGTGTTGGCAGCTTACCGAGTATTTGAGGACAGAAGCAGAAGATTTTACAGTACGGTGTACGTTAGCACGTTAGCATTATGCTAAAAGTGAGAACATGAGAACTTGTAGCAGCGGGCTTATATAAGGTGAAAAACACATTGAGAAAGAAAGAAAATATTAACTTTTCTCTCATCCTGCACAACTTTAACCATAACTGCTCCATAATTAACGCTACAAGCTAACATTTACTTTAAGCTAATGTCTTGCTAACGAAACTTTTTTATGATGAATATTTAAAAGTCTTATAAAAATTGACAAATTCTCAGGTTACAGAATATAAATCAATAATGATTTAGGATTTTCTGAAAGGTTTACTTCAAAATAACCCTCCTAGTTCACAGTTCAGTTGACCGTTAGCTAACGTTATTGGTAATTGTTAGTATGGACAACAGACAAGCTACCTAAAGACTTTATTTTTTGTGCTGGGTCACTTGGTAACGTTACAGTTTAAACTCAATATTTTATGTTTTACAGCTCGTAAGAATCGTATGTTGTCCATTTGACGAACAGACTGTGCTCAGATTTAAATAATTAAGTTAATTTTTGTAGCCTTTTTATTTTAATATTTTTTCCAGCTGGAGCAGATAAGGTGAGTTTATTACTTTTATTATTTGTGGATCTTAAAGTCACATTTCTCTCACAATAATTACTTAACTTTCTCTTTTTTTTCTTACTGCAGATTATTGAATGTGAGCTGTTCTTTGCTGCAGAGGTAGGTTCATTCTGCTGTCAGATAAACCCTCTCTTCCCTGCCGGCATCGAACCATAAATCTTGTGGTTTTACAGCCAGTAACAATAATACAAGCAAAACAATTTTACAAAGTTATTTAAGTGGACAGGGGCGGGGGGAGGTTTCAGTTTCAGCTGCTCCTTTGGTCTCTGCAGTTGTTTCCAATTCCATAACAGGAATTTTGTTGAGCTGTCACAGGATAAAACAGTGATTACCCATCTGTGGTATGTAGCAGTATATTAAATATTAAACTATTGATTATGTAGGCTCTCTGTTTCCAGCCTGTGAGTAACAGTGATTTATTTCCGCTGAGATCATGAATAGTGATGTCTGAAGAATATGAAACAGGATTGTCAGACATTCAGTGTAGAGGCTTGTGTTTTGTGGCCCCTCTTTTACAGCAGTCCCATAATAGTCCCATAATAATCCCATAATAATCCCGATCACGTCACCCTCTGATCTGCACTGACAGTTAAAAATGACGTGGTTTTATGGGTACACCTGGTGGTGAAATATTGTTGGTGACATTGTTTACATGGTTGGAAATGAGAAAGTCAGTCTATATATTGACATCATACTAAATGCTAAATGCATAACAATCATGGTTTTTGCATTAATGTGAATAATCTATAGCCTATTTAATAGTTTTTTACACAAATGTTAAAACTTTTTTGCAAATAAAATGGATGAAAAACAAGGTAAAACCTCTTTCCTGCAAGTCATTATAAGTTTGAACATTTTTATGAACTAGTGCTTTTTATTTTACGGGATGCTTATATTGTTAAAATGCACAATAGTAGTAGGATGGAACCACCTTAATTGACTTCCTTATAATTTTTTGAATGAATAAAAAAAAAAAAAAAAAAAAAACAGAAATCAGAGAGCTATTTGCCTCCGCATATTTACGTATATCAGTTAGGGAGGAACTTATCACCCTGGTGGCTAAGTCAGCGAGCTGTACGAGCTAACTAACGGCATCTAACATTACTGTTGCTGGCAGTTAGCTACTTTTAGCAACAAGTCCATCTGGAAACTCTTTAAATCACCTTGGCAGTCAAACTGGCCTCCGTTTGTGTTCACTAGGAGGCTGCTGAGCCCCGTTCCGTTACATAACCGCAACTATATTAGCAGTTAGCGAAGTTGAGGCAGAGCAGTCGGAGGACGTCAGAGGGAAAACCAGACAATGTTCTCTCCGTAAAATATGATCCAGTTTCACCCAAATAATCAGTGGGCTAACTAATGAATCTTCACTGTGTGTCGCTTAAAGTTGAAGATTGATTAACGGGTCAATTTCAAGATATTTTTGGTTAAAGTCAGTTAGTTCATGCTGACGTAAGCATGCATGACATTTTGTTTTACAGAAAGACAAAATGATTTTGATATAAAAATACAAATAAATTTAGTTTTTGTACATTTTTTCGCATTCATTGTTAAATAGGAAAAACATATAACTGAGGATGTGATCTTAAAGGGTTAAAAACTGGACTTTAATTAGTTTTATTTTTACTAGAAACATCTGGGGGGATCCACTTTGGGTACTCCTACTCCTACTCGGGACCAAGACTTCAACAGCCTCAACAATGTCTTGTGTTTGGCATCTCATTCCCCAGAGTTACTGCAGGTTATATTTGACCTCTGCTAACGGCTGTATCATATCCTCAGATAACAGCTGCTTCTTCACTTAAGACACCAGCCAGAATTAGAAATGAGTCAACGAAGTAAGAGCTGCCACAACAGTTTGTATTTTACATTTTTCAATGTTCGCAGCGCTAACCTGTCGAAAAAAAGCTCCTCACGTTAGCATCTCCTTAACCTGCTAAATGTTCTCCTTTCAGGCAGGAGGTGAGCTGCTCAGAGCCCTGAACATAAACTGTCTTCAGGACTTACAGGTAAGAAACAAAATCAGAAGACAGAAGAACTACAAAAAACGAACTGAAAGTGTGTTTGTTTACCTCTCCAATCAGAAAGTAATGTAAAATAAGCCAACGAGTGGTGGAAGATGTGAGATTCTCAAAGAGGTTTTTACTGTATTTGAGCAATCAGCCTGCTAATATCCAACTAAAACATTGTGATGGTCAATGATTGATAGCTTGTCACAGATGCATCAGTGTCGGGATATATGGTATGAAAAGGATAATGCTTGGCCAGGTGTCCATTATCAGGACAATGTGGAGGCCAGAACCGTCCATTATTTCCTGATAATAGACACCTCGCCGGGGATTATCCGTTTCTACCACGGTCACAGTTTTTTTTAAAGCCATAACTCAGTTTTCCTGACATCCTCCCTAATGCAGGTAAGAGATACTATAGTATATCTACTTATTTTTCAGTCGGGAATCCTCTCCGATACACATTAATCAGGGAATTTATTTTCCTAGGATGGCAAAGGCATGAAATACTTGTCTAATTTTAATGAGTGGATGGAGTTAAGTGACAATCTGCAAGTACTTCTGGCACATTATGGATGAACTAAATATAAAACTCTTACAGTTATCCTTTGATAATAATGCCTTGCTGTGGCTGTGGGCATAAATTAAGGAATATACCAACTTCTCCAGGCACCACTACACCATTTAATTTGACCAAAGGGATCCCGAAGTACGAGCAGGGTTGGATCAAGGTCTTGTGAGGCCCCTGGGTACAAGTCTTTGCCCCAATTTAGCTCCATAATCCTCAAACCTTGGGTACGAATGTGGCCCTTACAAGGTATCGTCCAGTCATCAGAAGGTTGTTGGTTTGACCCCCAGTTCCTTCAGATTATTTAGGCAGGTGTGTGTTCACTGAACGAAGGCTGTTAATCAGCTGCTGTCTCGTCACATCTTTTAGCACCTATAAATAAAACATCACGTCGCAGCAGGCGCAGGTGTTAAAGCGCCACATCGCAGTTATTGGATGACACTTTTAATTACACTTAAATGTGGGACGCACTCTGTAACAGAGCCTGTGTCACAAAGTGTTGGACCGCTGACACTTTATTACATCTATTACAGTATTTTTCATCTGGAAATGGAGCTTCAAGTTTGTGATTTAGGTGTAAGGTTTGGTATTTGTGCAAATATATATATATTGTATACATTTGTTATGCTAACGTTAGTTAGCAACTAGGGAGTTGACAACTTTTCTAACAGAGCCAAACATCAAGCAACCACACATAGACATAGCGAGCCAGTTACTGGTCCAAATATATGATGGAGGTTTTTACCTCCATAAAAAGTGAGGTTATCTTATATTCAGGGTTTTTAAACCAAAGATGGCGCCAATTATCTGTAATATCTTGACTGAAGCGCGCCGCCCGTCGCAGTTAACCGACAGGTTACGATGAAATGACTCTCACGCAGCCGAGAAAGATGGCGTCACAGAATGTAATGTTAGAAGATGGCAAGCCCAAAAAGACGCGAACGGTACAAACTTACATATTAGTCTACTTGCCAGAAAGATGAACCTGGAAATGTTGAGTAACCCAAAGTTTTATGTTAGAAATGTAAAGTTTGGGTCCCCAGTTGTTGGACCATTAGCATAATTAGCATTAATTAGCATACTCACCTGTATAGGACAGTATTTCAGCTCCTGCTTGACTGATTTGGACAATATTGGAGTGATTTTGGGGGTTTTGCAGATGCTGAATTAACAATGCAAAATTTAAACTGGACGTACATTTCAACTCCTGTTGGGCCAATTTTGAGTCTTTTTTTAGATCATTTATATGCTTATTATTATATTATGACATTTCTTCAGTTCTGCTGTTACTGCAAATAAACAAACATCAGAAATGGATTTTGCATCCCCAATAACGTCCAAAACCACTCTAATGCCATAATGTCCAAATGGGCTAATTATGCTAATTGCCCAACATATGCAAGTTACTATCTGGCAGTTTCTCTATACTGGGGACCCAAACATTAAATTTTTTAAAGTAAAAAAGTCACATAATGTTGCTTAGTAATCCAGTATATCCTCCCTTTCTAGTCCCGCTGCAGCTCGCTGGCACTGACCTTACGAAGGCTCAACCTGAAGCAGGAGAAGAAGAAGGTTAAAGGAGGTGAGTCTCCTCCGGTGAAGGTGGAAACTGACACTGGACACATGGCACGAGACTCCAATAGCACCTGCCGAGTGAATTTTCTAGTCCAACCTTAGTTTGTCCG